CTGCACCGAGAGGTAACGGTGGAGGGAGTGGACAAGAATGCTCTGGCTGTTCACGTGTTCCATCTGCACGAGCGCCCGATCGCAGGTCAAACCAGTGGGGGCGACTACTACTCATGCAAGAAACTTTGTAAGGACTACGCACGTGAGACGAAGGGACGCCTGGAGTACCGGCTGGAGGATCTGGAGAACTTGAATGGCGCCAAGATCTTCCGACCTGCCATGTACCCGGAGGACAAAAGTCAGCGCATGCGCAAGTGTCGCGCGTGGCTGGGCCAGCTCGACAAGATGTTCCACCACTCCCTGCCAGATACATTTCATCTACCTTGTTGTATTGCACATGTTCTTGAAGCTTCCAGTGATCCCCTTTTCCTCCCTTTGACCCCCGACAGGTGTCCAGTCCAGGGAGTGCGAGAGGGATGAAGCTTCCATCAGAGCCATGGACCACCTCCCAAACCCTTTAGGTTAGAGATATTTCTTGTTGAGAAACCTTTTTTTGAAAAAAAGCTCTTCTGTTCCTAGCATGGTTCATGTGCAAGTTGGCTCCTAAGATTTGTCGGCTCTAGGACCAGGTTCTAAGACTAATAGTATATTTCTTGACCCATTCTAACAGAAGGTCAGCCTTGGTGGTTGAGAGCAGCGATGACATGGCGTGTGGAGGGCAGCACGTGGGCCACGAGCGGCAGGTGGGAGGGTGCAGCGAGCACGGTGGCGGGCGCGTACAGCCACGGCGCCACCGAAGCATTGAAGGCTGCAAAGTGCGGCACGAGGATGGCCTCCCAGTCCACCTGCAGAGGAAGGGGGAAGAGGGGGGTGGGGAGGGCAGAGAGTGGGGAGGCGGAGAGAGCATCACGAGGGATCAGCTATTGCTGGCAGCTGTGGCAACCATGAAGTGAAGGGGGGAACGTAAATAGCAGCACCAGATAACTGAAATGCGAGGCGAGGTGAGCAGAGTAAAGGGGCAGAGCAGGGACCTGCATGCCATGCGGAATGGGGGCGGTGGTGAGCATGCCGGCGGCCATGGAGAGGCCGAGCACGGCGATGAGCCCCACCATGGCACTGCCTCTCGTCAACGGCATGAACTGGTACCTGCTCCGCCCATGAGCCGAGCGCGGCGTCATGGGGGACAGGAGAGAAGGGAGATAGGGGAGGAGAGACACGTAGGGCAGGAGATGTAGGGAGAGGAGATATGAAGCACGGGAAAGGACAGACGAGTGTGGCAGAGTTGAAATGTAGATTCCCAATACTCAGTGCATCTTCCCAACTGTCCGCCTCTCCTTCTGCACCGCCCCCCAACACAACCCCCACTGCCCCCCAACCCTCATCCTGGTGAGCGCACACCACTGCACAGCCTCTTGTGTGCGGGTCCAGTCCAGGTGAGAGCACACCACGGCACGGCAATTACCAATAGTATCCAATTCGCAGAATATTTTCCTGAATGCGTTGGCGATAGCGGGCGGCATCAGCTGTCTCCAGGGCACGGTCCAACACGGCGGCACATAGGTCCTGCCACTCCCGATGACAAGGCAGCGGTGGGTGAGGAGGCAGAGGTGGGTGAGGATTCAGAGGTGGGTGAGAGGGGAAAGTGAGAAATACATGCAAATGCACACGCGGCAGCAGCATCAGTGTGTATGCGGCACTCCTTGTCAACCCTCACCTGCCTCCCTCTCTGTTGACCACGCACCCACCCCCCTCACCCACCCCCCGCACCCACCCCCCTCACCCACCCCCCTCACCCACCCCTCTCACCCACCCCCTCTCACCCACCCCTCTCACCCACCCCCTCTCACCCACCCCTCTCACCCACCCCTCTCACCCACCCCCAACCACTCACCCGCCACGCGGCAGTGAGCTCGGCGTCAAAGTGCTTCCAGCGCGGCGGCGTGACGGGCGTGCGGATGGCAAAGTCAAACCCTGCCCCCCTGCCATGCACGCACGCCGGGCGCAGCGGGGCAGACAGTAGGGGAATGGGTGGGCGAGGGCAGCATGGTGGTGAGGCATTGCAGACGCAGTTGAAGGAGTGCGGCACACCAAGGCGAGAGGCATGCGGATGAGTGAGAGTGGTGGGTCAGTGGAGTGGAGAGGATGAGTGGAGAGGAATGAGTGGAGAGGAATGAGTGGAGAGGAATGAGTGTGGAAGGGAACGAGTGGAGGGGAATGAGGGGAGGGGAATGAGTGGGGAGGAGAGGCGGGGGGCGTGGGGCAGCACTCACGACTGAACGACGGTGAGCTGCGTGCCGTTGAGCACCACGCTGGTGCCGCCACATGCGAGGGCGGTGGGGCAGACAGGGGGGGCAGGAAGAGACAGGTGAGTGGCAGGTTAGACACATGAGAGGGATAAACACATGAGAGGGATAAACACATGAGAGGGATAAACACATGAGAGGGATAAACACATGAGAGGGATAAACACATGAGAGGGATAAACACATGAGAGGGATAAACACATGAGAGGGATAAACACATGAGAGGGATAAACACATGAGAGGGATAAACACATGAGAGGGATAAACACATGAGAGGGATAAACACATGAGAGGGATAAACACATGAGAGGGATAAACACATGAGAGGGATAAACACATGAGAGGGATAAACACATGAGAGGGATAAACACATGAGGGATAAACACATGAGAGGGATAAACACATGAGAGGGATAAACACATGAGAGGGATAAACACATGAGAGGGATAAACACATGAGAGGGATAAACACATGAGAGGGATAAACACATGAGAGGGATAAACAGGAGGATTGCAGCAGATGATGGCATGGGCAAAGCGAGTTGGCATCCACATGTGGGCAACACAGGCACCGCACGCTGTAACACAGGCGTGTGGCACGCTGCAAGACATGCAAGGCTGTGGCTGTGGCAGTGTGTGCTGCTGCAAGCCAAGCCAAGGCAAACATTTGTGCGGCGCACCCACCCACCCATTGTGTGAGGTTAGTGATTGCAAGTCCCATTAGCGGACAATATGAGTGGACCCTCTATGACATCATGGCGTGCGAGGAGTGATGCTCGTCAATCCAGCCACCATTGGCGGTTCACCCCCCCCTCAGCCCACTCACGCCCCTCACCCCTCTTAAACCCCTCACCGCCTCACCCACCCACCCCCCAACAGCCTGCAAGGCCTTGCAGGGCAAGCAGGCAGGCAGGCGGGCAGGCAGGCAGGCGGGCGGGCAGGCAGGCAGGCGGGCAGGCAGGCAAGCAGGCGGGCAAGCGGGCAGGCAAGCAGGCGGGCATGCAAGCAGGCGGGCAGGCAAGCAGGCGGGCAGGCAAGCAGGCAGGCAGGCAAGCAGGCGGGCTGTAGGGCACCCACCCCGGGGAAGCGAGGCTGTGGCACTCGGTGGTGACAAAGAAGTTCTCCCCCACCACCGCATGCACCTCGCCCACCCCCTCCGCCCTCTCGATCTGTGCACACCCCACGGCAGGCAGAGCGGGGTGGCACACGTGGGGAAGGACGGGTGATGACCGGGAGCGAGGAGACGAGTGATCCGTGCACGTGGACTGCTGGTGAGCATGCTCTGGGCAGCACGCCCACTCGCCATGGCAGCACGCCCACTCGCCATGGCAGCACGCCCACTCGCCATGGCAGCACGCCTACTCGCCATGGCAGCACGCCCACTCGCCATGGCAGCACGCCCACTCGCCATGGCAGCACGCCCACTCGCCATGGCAGCACGCCCACTCGCCATGGCAGCACGCCGCACGCCATGGCAGCAGCAAGAGAAGACAAGGCATGAAACACATCAAATTCGAACCCAACAAACATTTGACAATCACAAGACAGAGGGGCACAGAGGGGCACACAGGCAGTGAGAGGGGCACACAGGCAGTGAGAGGGGCACACATGCAGTGAGAGGGGCACACAGGCAGTGAGAGGGGCACACAGGCAGTGAGAGGGGCACACAGGCAGTGAGAGGGGCACACAGGCAGTGAGAGGGGCACACATGCAGTGAGAGGGGCACACAGGCAGTGAGAGGGGCACACAGGCAGTGAGAGGGGCACACAGGCAGTGAGAGGGGCACACATGCAGTGAGAGGGGCACACAGGCAGTGAGAGGGGCACACAGGCAGTGAGAGGGGCACACATGCAGTGAGAGGGGCACACAGGCAGTGAGAGGGGCACACATGCAGTGAGAGGGGCACACAGGCAGTGAGAGGGGCACACATGCAGTGAGAGGGGCACACAGGCAGTGAGAGGGGCACACATGCAGTGAGAGGGGCACACAGGCAGTGAGAGGGGCACACATGCAGTGAGAGGGGCACACAGGCAGTGAGAGGGGCACACAGGCAGTGAGAGGGGCACACATGCAGAGACTCTTGACCTGCACCACTCACCTCGGGCAGTCGGCTGGTTGGCAGAGGGAGCGGCGAGCCAGCAGCGTTGGCGGCGAGGCGGGTTTGTAGGAGGTGGGAGCGCAGGAGGGCGAGGGCGCGGGGGGCGAGCGGGTGGTACTTGAGGTTGCGCGAGGGGCCCACCGCCATGGCTGTGATGGACCCAAACCCCCCCTCAAACTCGTTCCTGCCGCCCGCACACCGCATGGAGGGAGGGATGGGCGGCAGGTGGATGGATGCGCAAGGCAACGGAGACAGCGGTGCGACATAAGTGATTTGAGAGCATCGATGTACGCGCAAGGGATGTCAGTCAAGCCATGCGACTCACTTGAGAGCATCGATGTACGCGACTCACTTGAGAGCATCGATCCACGCGACTCACTTGAGAGCATCGATCCACGCGACTCACTTGAGAGCATCGATCCACGCGACTCACTTGAGAGCATCGATCCACGCGACTCACTTGAGAGCATCGATCCACGCGACTCACTTGAGAGCATCGATCCACGCGACTCACTTGAGAGCATCGATCCACGCGACTCACTTGAGAGCATCGATCCACGCGACTCACTTGAGAGCATCGATCCACGCGACTCACTTGAGAGCATCGATCCACGCGACTCACTTGAGAGCATCGATCCACGCGACTCACTTGAGAGCATCGATCCACGCGACTCACTCACTTGAGGGCATCGATCCATGCAACGGTGTCGGTGGGCTCGGCAATCTGCCTCCACCGCACGATGCTGTCAAACACCTCCCTCCACCCCCCAATCACCTCGCCTCCTTGCCCCCTGCCTTTGCCCTTGCTGTTGCCGCCTCTGCCCCTCCGCCGCCTGCCCTCCTCACCCTTCCCTCTATTGCTGTTACTTCCCTTCTGGCTGCTGCCAGCCACAGCGGAGTCAGGCGCAGTGGCAGCAGTAGGAGCAGTGGGTGAGGCGGGAGGCATGGAGGGGGAGGGGGAGTCAGGCGAGGCTGGAGGTGCAGCGGCCTCACTGTCCAGCGCTGCGGCAGGTGAGCACATGGCTTCACGTGATGACGTGGCATCATGAGATCCGCTGTTGTTCTGTGATGACGTGGCAGAGGCCATGGCTTGCCACGTGGATGCGACTCGCTGCATGATGTCAAGCATGGGTAGCCCTGCCATGCGGTACTGCCTTCATGCCATGCCATCACATCCCAGCACACCATAAGCACCATGCCATGCCATCACATCCCAGCACACCATAAGCACCATGCCATGCCATCACATCCCAGCACACCATAAGCACCATGCCATGCTATCACAGACCAGCACACCATAAGCACCATGCCATGCTATCACAGACCAGCACACCATAAGCACCATGCCATGCTATCACAGACCAGCACACCATAAGCACCATGCCATGCCATCACATCCCAGCACACCATAAGCACCATGCCATGCTATCACAGACCAGCACACCATAAGCACCATGCCATGCTATCACAGACCAGCACACCATAAGCACCATGCCATGCTATCACATCCCAGCACACCATAAGCACCATGCCATGCTATCACAGACCAGCACACCATAAGCACCATGCCATGCTATCACAGACCAGCACACCATAAGCACCATGCCATGCCATCACATCCCAGCACACCATAAGCACCATGCCATGCTATCACAGACCAGCACACCATAAGCACCATGCCATGCTATCACAGACCAGCACACCATAAGCACCATGCCATGCTATCACAGACCAGCACACCATAAGCACCATGCCATGCTATCACAGACCAGCACACCATAAGCACCATGCCATGCCATCACATCCCAGCACACCATAAGCACCATGCCATGCTATCACAGACCAGCACACCATAAGCACCATGCCATGCTATCACAGACCAGCACACCATAAGCACCATGCCATGCCATCACATCCCAGCACACCATAAGCACCATGCCATGCTATCACAGACCAGCACACCATAAGCACCATGCCATGCTATCACAGACCAGCACACCATAAGCACCATGCCATGCCATCACATCCCAGCACACCATAAGCACCATGCCATGCTATCACAGACCAGCACACCATAAGCACCATGCCATGCTATCACAGACCAGCACACCATAAGCACCATGCCATGCCATCACATCCCAGCACACCATAAGCACCATGCCATGCTATCACAGACCAGCACACCATAAGCACCATGCCATGCTATCACAGACCAGCACACCATAAGCACCATGCCATGCCATCACATGACCAGCACACCATAAGCACCATGCCATGCCATCACATGACCAGCACACCATAAGCACCATGCCATGCCATCACATGACCAGCACACCATAAGCACCATGCCATGCCATCACATGACCAGCACACCATGCACCATGACATGAGGGTATGGGATAAGCAACATGAGGTACTGGGAAGGAAGGAGGGAACATGCCTGTGGGGTGGGGATGCATAGGGTGTGGGGGTTGGGGTTGGGGGTAGGCATGAGCAAAACGCAACAGTCTCGAACACCTTATTTACTCGAATTGAACGTGTCCAGTTCGACTGGACGTTTTTGTCAAAAGTGGTGTTTGACGGTTCGACCAAATGGTCGAACACTTGGGTGTTCTAATCGACCAGTTAACTGTTCGACCCGAGCACGAACATGTTCGGTTCGAGTACACCAGTCATTGTAGAAAACGCACTTGTTGCGTTGCGAAATGTGTTTTCAAACAGTTTAAAGCCCGCGGATCAAGGTTTAAAAACTCGATATCGAGGAGAGGAGAGTGCAAACTTGAAAGGGAGTGCACCTGCAAGCTGGGACCATCGAGCAGTGGCACCACCCACCAGGGGGGAAAACGAGGGGTGGCTGGTTGGGTTTGTTCGATTTTGACGAACTCTCACCCCAACCCAGACCAGAAGAACTCCCTCCCCGTCAACTTTTTAGAACATGAACAACGTCGGCCGACGGCTTTAAAATAAAGCGCGGAACATGCAAGAATATCATGTGTTGTATTTTCTATTCGTGACAGTTGTAAAATTCTCAAGTACGTGGGACACAAAAGCCCTCCCTAAGCGTGTTCACGAAAACAATCCTAATGCTTGTAAAAAAAACTCTCTTGAAGCCTGTAATCGACGGGTCCAGGAGGTAAGCTAACGGGCTGGTTAACGAATGTCAACGTTTGAGCTCGGATTCAAGCTCAAACTTTATGATTTTGACTTAACATGATAACCAGAGCGCCACAGTGACGCACTGGGTTCGACGCGGACACGTAGGTGCTTGCATCGAACAAATAACACCCCAAACCAGTTCGATTTCGGGGCGCTTCGGTTCGGGCAAACCTTTTGAACGAATCAAACAGGTTCAGGCCCATTCTCACTTGTGAACACAACACCACTCACCCCTACCTGTACCCATCATTGCAGGTCAACACCTTGTCGTTCCAATTGCTCTCAATACCTCCACCCGCCCTCGTCATGTGCTCTGTTGGCCTCCCCCACAGCTCTCAGACTCGCCCCCGCGGCCCCATGACATGGCATGGCATGGCATGGCATGGCATGGCGGCACACCTGGCGGCGGTTGGGGAAGAAGCCGTCCACGTGGTACTGCGTGCGCTGCCCCATGCTGTCCGCCTCGCCAATCAGAGCCAGCGCCTGCTTCGACAGGCTCGGCAGCGAGGCTTGGGAGGCCGCCGAGAGGATTGGTTGGGTGAGGCGGATGGGCTGGTAGGCGGGGAAGAGAGTCCACGGCGAGAGCTTCTTTACCCACGCCTCCTGGGGGCACAGAGAGGGGAGGGGATTGGCGGTGGGGGAGGGCACGTGTGTGGGGTGGAGGAGCCAATACAGGCGTGCAAGGCGGCAAGGACGTTGGAGGAGAGGCAGCAGCATGGGAGGAGACATGCAGCATGAGAGGAGACATGCAGCATGGGAGGAGACATGCAGCATGGGAGGAGACATGCAGCATGAGAGGAGACATGCAGCATGGGAGGAGACATGCAGCATGGGAGGAGACATGCAGCATGGGAGGAGACATGCAGCATGGGAGGAGACATGCAGCATGAGAGGAGACATGCAGCATGGGAGGAGACATGCAGCATGGGAGGAGACATGCAGCATGGGAGGAGACATGCAGCATGGGAGGAGACATGCAGCATGGGAGGAGACATGCAGCATGAGAGGAGACATGCAGCATGGGAGGAGACATGCAGCATGGGAGGAGACATGCAGCATGGGAGGAGACATGCAGCATGGGAGGAGACATGGTGGTGGTGCTACTGGTGTGGTTGACATCCTTGCAGTGCGCATGGAGCAGCAAGGGTGTCAGCCACGCCAGTAGCACCAACCATCCAATACGGCACCAATACCCGAAACTTGCCCAGAAACTATTTGGACCGTTCCGGGAACGTACACGGAAGTTGACGTCAAGGTGGTGGTCGAGGTGGAAGGCGGTGAAAGGGGCGTCGAGGCTGAGCACCGTGTACGCCGCCATCTCCCTCTGCGGCACAGCGGTGCAGGCATGGGGATGTGTGATGGGCGCATGCCATGGGGATGTGTGATGGGCGCATGCCATGGGGATGTGTGATGGGCGCATGCCATGGGGATGTGTGATGGGCGCATGCCATGGGGATGTGTGATGGGCGCATGCCATGGGGATGTGTGATGGGCGCATGCCATGGGGATGTGTGATGGGCGCATGCCATGGGCAACGACGGCTTTGGACAAGAAGTGGAACATCTGGTAAAAGGCCATGAACTGCCGCCCCTGTTAAAATATAGCACATGATGTTACAACTTAACACCCAGTTACACCCAGTTATGGTGACAGGGGACAACTTTGTTGGCCGTCGTCAACCAATTAATAATTGGTGGCTCGCCCCCAACAATAGTGGGTAAACAACAACGTTGGCCAACCAATAATGATGGAACGCACCTCCCGATTACCCCTCTTTTCTTCTTCTATGTAAGGCCAACGCTTTCCAATACAATCAACACTTGAGATTCTTTCAGCCCGTACTGATAGAAGGCCATGAACTGCCGCCCTACCTGATAGAAGGCCATGAACTGCCGCCCTACCTGATAGAAGGCCATGAACTGCCGCCCTACCTGATAGAAGGCCATGAACTGCCGCCCTACCTGATAGAAGGCCATGAACTGCCGCCCTACCTGATAGAAGGCCATGAACTGCCGCCCTACCTGATAGAAGGCCATGAACTGCCGCCCTACCTGATAGAAGGCCATGAACTGCCGCCCTACCTGATAGAAGGCCATGAACTGCCGCCCTACCTGATAGAAGGCCATGAACTGCCGCCCTACCTGATAGAAGGCCATGAACTGCCGCCCTACCCGATAGAAGGCCATGAACTGCCGCCCTACCTGATACAAGGCCATGAACTGCCGCCCTACCTGATACAAGGCCATGAACTGCCGCCCTACCTGATAGAAGGCCATGAAGTGCCGCCCTACCTGATAGAAGGCCATGAAGTGCCGCCCTACCTGATAGAAGGCCATGAAGTGCCGCCCTACCTGATAGAAGGCCATGAACTGCCGCTCAACCTGATAGAAGGCCATGAACTGCCGCTCAACCTGATAGAAGGCCATGAACTGCAGCACATGGAAGGCACCCGGGGTGTCCCCTGCACTGAGGCTGAGCACGTGGTCGTACTGCCTCAGCTGCATGCGCGGTGGGGCCAAGGGGCCAGTCAGGGAGGGTGGAAAAGTGAAGGATTGGGGTTTAATGGAGCGAGGTGGCACATGTATAGGTGGCTTGGCTTGGAGGAAGCTACAGACATGGTGAGGGGCAATCCAGGAAGGATGGAGTGCATGCTCACATACAGTGCATGCTCACATACAGTGCATGCTCACATACAGTGCATGCTCACATACAGTGCATGCTCACATACAGTGCATGCTCACATACAGTGCATGCTCACATACAGTGCATGCTCACATACAGTGCATGCTCACATACAGTGCATGCTCACATACAGTGCATGCTCACATACAGTGCATGCTCACATACAGTGCATGCTCACATACAGTGCATGCTCACATACAGTGCATGCTCACATACAGTGCATGCTCACATACAGTGCATGCTCCATACAGTGCATGCTCACATACAGTGCATGCTCACATACAGTGCATGCTCACATACAGTGCAGCTCACATACATGCATGCTCACATACAGTGCATGCTCCATACAGTGGCTATGCTCACATACAGTGCATGCTCACCATACAGTGATGCCACATACAGTGCATGCTCACATACAGTGCATGCTCACAATACAGTGCATGCTCACATACAGTGCATGCTTCCACATACAGTGCATGCTCACATACAGTGCATGCTCACATACAGTGCATGCTCACATACAGTGCATGCTCACATACAGTGCATGCTCACATACAGTGCATGCTCACATACAGTGCATGCTCACATACAGTGCATGCTCACATACAGTGCATGCTCACATACAGTGCATGCTCACATACAGTGCATGCTCACATACAGTGCATGCTCACATACAGTGCATGCTCACATACAGTGCATGCTCACATACAGTGCATGCTCACATACAGTGCATGCTCACATACAGTGCATGCTCACATACAGTGCATGCTCACATACAGTGCATGCTCACATACAGTGCATGCTCACATACAGTGCATGCTCACATACAGTGCATGCTCACATACAGTGCATGCTCACATACAGTGCATGCTCACATACAGTGCATGCTCACATACAGTGCATGCTCACATACAGTGCATGCTCACATACAGTGCATGCTCACATACAGTGCATGCTCACATACAGTGCATGCTCACATACAGTGCATGCTCACATACAGTGCATGCTCACATACAGTGCATGCTCACATACAGTGCATGCTCACATACAGTGCATGCTCACATACAGTGCATGCTCACATACAGTGCATGCTCACATACAGTGCATGCTCACATACAGTGCATGCTCACATACAGTGCATGCTCACATACAGTGCATGCTCACATACAGTGCATGCTCACATACAGTGCATGCTCACATACAGTGCATGCTCACATACAGTGCATGCTCACATACAGTGCATGCTCACATACAGTGCATGCTCACATACAGTGCATGCTCACATACAGTGCATGCTCACATACAGTGCATGCTCACATACAGTGCATGCTCACATACAGTGCATGCTCACATACAGTGCATGCTCACATACAGTGCATGCTCACATACAGTGCATGCTCACATACAGTGCATGCTCACATACAGTGCATGCTCACATACAGTGCATGCTCACATACAGTGCATGCTCACATACAGTGCATGCTCACATACAGTGCATGCTCACATACAGTGCATGCTCACATACAGTGCATGCTCACATACAGTGCATGCTCACATACAGTGCATGCTCACATACAGTGCATGCTCACATACAGTGCATGCTCACATACAGTGCATGCTCACATACAGTGCATGCTCACATACAGTGCATGCTCACATACAGTGCATGCTCACATACAGTGCATGCTCACATACAGTGCATGCTCACATACAGTGCATGCTCACATACAGTGCATGCTCACATACAGTGCATGCTCACATACAGTGCATGCTCACATACAGTGCATGCTCACATACAGTGCATGCTCACATACAGTGCATGCTCACATACAGTGCATGCTCACATACAGTGCATGCTCACATACAGTGCATGCTCACATACAGTGCATGCTCACATACAGTGCATGCTCACATACAGTGCATGCTCACATACAGTGCATGCTCACATACAGTGCATGCTCACATACAGTGCATGCTCACATACAGTGCATGCTCACATACAGTGCATGCTCACATACAGTGCATGCTCACATACAGTGCATGCTCACATACAGTGCATGCTCACATACAGTGCATGCTCACATACAGTGCATGCTCACATACAGTGCATGCTCACATACAGTGCATGCTCACATACAGTGCATGCTCACATACAGTGCATGCTCACATACAGTGCATGCTCACATACAGTGCATGCTCACATACAGTGCATGCTCACATACAGTGCATGCTCACATACAGTGCATGCTCACATACAGTGCATGCTCACATACAGTGCATGCTCACATACAGTGCATGCTCACATACAGTGCATGCTCACATACAGTGCATGCTCACATACAGTGCATGCTCACATACAGTGCATGCTCACATACAGTGCATGCTCACATACAGTGCATGCTCACATACAGTGCATGCTCACATACAGTGCATGCTCACATACAGTGCATGCTCACATACAGTGCATGCTCACATACAGTGCATGCTCACATACAGTGCATGCTCACATACAGTGCATGCTCACATACAGTGCATGCTCACATACAGTGCATGCTCACATACAGTGCATGCTCACATACAGTGCATGCTCACATACAGTGCATGCTCACATACAGTGCATGCTCACATACAGTGCATGCTCACATACAGTGCATGCTCACATACAGTGCATGCTCACATACAGTGCATGCTCACATACAGTGCATGCTCACATACAGTGCATGCTCACATACAGTGCATGCTCACATACAGTGCATGCTCACATACAGTGCATGCTCACATACAGTGCATGCTCACATACAGTGCATGCTCACATACAGTGCATGCTCACATACAGTGCATGCTCACATACAGTGCATGCTCACATACAGTGCATGCTCACATACAGTGCATGCTCACATACAGTGCATGCTCACATACAGTGCATGCTCACATACAGTGCATGCTCACATACAGTGCATGCTCACATACAGTGCATGCTCACATACAGTGCATGCTCACATACAGTGCATGCTCACATACAGTGCATGCTCACATACAGTGCATGCTCACATACAGTGCATGCTCACATACAGTGCATGCTCACATACAGTGCATGCTCACATACAGTGCATGCTCACATACAGTGCATGCTCACATACAGTGCATGCTCACATACAGTGCATGCTCACATACAGTGCATGCTCACATACAGTGCATGCTCACATACAGTGCATGCTCACATACAGTGCATGCTCACATACAGTGCATGCTCACATACAGTGCATGCTCACATACAGTGCATGCTCACATACAGTGCATGCTCACATACAGTGCATGCTCACATACAGTGCATGCTCACATACAGTGCATGCTCACATACAGTGCATGCTCACATACAGTGCATAGCTCACTATACCAGTGCATGCTCACATACAGTGCATGCTCACATACAGTGCATGCTCACATACAGTGCATGCTCACATACAGTGCATGCTCACATACAGTGCATGCTCACATACAGTGCATGCTCACATACAGTGCATGCTCACATACAGTGCATGCTCACATACAGTGGCATGCTCACATACAGTGCATGCTCACATACAGTGCATGCTCACATACAGTGCATGCTCACATACAGTGCATGCTCACATACAGTGCATGCTCACATACAGTGCATGCTCACATACAGTGCATGCTCACATACAGTGCATGCTCACATACAGTGCATGCTCACATACAGTGCATGCTCACATACAGTGCATGCTCACATACAGTGCATGCTCACATACAGTGCATGCTCACATACAGTGCATGCTCACATACAGTGCATGCTCACATACAGTGCATGCTCACATACAGTGCATGCTCACATACAGTGCATGCTCACATACAGTGCATGCTCACATACAGTGCATGCTCACATACAGTGCATGCTCACATACAGTGCATGCTCACATACAGTGCATGCTCACATACAGTGCATGCTCACATACAGTGCATGCTCACATACAGTGCATGCTCACATACAGTGCATGCTCACATACAGTGCATGCTCACATACAGTGCATGCTCACATACAGTGCATGCTCACATACAGTGCATGCTCACATACAGTGCATGCTCACATACAGTGCATGCTCACATACAGTGCATGCTCACATACAGTGCATGCTCACATACAGTGCATGCTCACATACAGTGCATGCTCACATACAGTGCATGCTCACATACAGTGCATGCTCACATACAGTGCATGCTCACATACAGTGCATGCTCACATACAGTGCATGCTCACATACAGTGCATGCTCACATACAGTGCATGCTCACATACAGTGCATGCTCACATACAGTGCATGCTCACATACAGTGCATGCTCACATACAGTGCATGCTCACATACAGTGCATGCTCACATACAGTGCATGCTCACATACAGTGCATGCTCACATACAGTGCATGCTCACATACAGTGCATGCTCACATACAGTGCATGCTCACATACAGTGCATGCTCACATACAGTGCATGCTCACATACAGTGCATGCTCACATACAGTGCATGCTCACATACAGTGCATGCTCACATACAGTGCATGCTCACATACAGTGCATGCTCACATACAGTGCATGCTCACATACAGTGCATGCTCACATACAGTGCATGCTCACATACAGTGCATGCTCACATACAGTGCATGCTCACATACAGTGCATGCTCACATACAGTGCATGCTCACAACAGTGCATGCTCCACATACAGTGCATGCTCACGATACAGTGCATGCTCACATAACAGTGCATGCTCACATACAGTGCATGCCTCACATACAGTGCATGC